TTTTTGAGTAGATTGGTAGGGACTTTTGAAAGCAGCAATCTCCTGGGAAGAATCTGAGGTTAGCACAACAGGTGGTGTGTGGGACAGTTTGGGCCCAGCCACTGAATGCCTGTCCCTACACTGTGCCTCCAGATTCCTTTACCTTCCAACATGGAAGTTTTATGATTACATTTTAGAAATGTGTAAGTTAGAGAACCTCGTATCTAAGGATGGATATGACGCAGATGCAACCATATTTCTTCATGCAACACATCATAAAAGACTAAAAGGCTGACAGACAAGGTTAATCTACAATATTGTATCTTCTATGCTCACCAACAACTTTTGGACCACTGTAACTCCTGAGTACTTTGCCCTAGTTTAATGACTCATGGATTATAAAAGATGTAACACACACAGTTATTCACCTGATGCTTATTTGTGTATCCAATGACATGACCCTCTGAGCACCTTTCACCATAATGCTGATCTCACCAAAGGTTCAGCTCACATTAACTGGCATTTGGTTTTACTGGGCTGCATAGCTCTTGATGCCTTCCTCTCCCTCCTAATCCCCAGCAGCCTTTGGCAAACACCACTGTCCTGGGTGCTGACACAGCGCAGCACTTAGCTTCTGCTTCCTTGGAGGGCTCCCTGCAGGACCTCAGATGAGGGCAAGAAAAGGCAATGCAAGCCCCGTAAAGCAAGCGCCGTCCTTCAGTCTGAGTCCTTTTATCTTTCCTTTTTTCATTTGTGCTAACGGACGTGAAGCCAGGCCTTGCCCATGCTAAGCACAAGCTCTACCCATGAGCTGAGCCCCCAGCCCCAGTCAGTGCTGCTTACACAGTTTCCTGTCTTTGGAGAAGTCTCCTGGCCCTTTCAACTCCACCTTTAGCCTCTGAGTTTTGCCTACATGCCTGGTAAACTTTAATCTCCTCAGGTTTTTTTTCTCCAAATTTCCTGGAGAGTATGATTCCAGTTCTGAGAAAAAAGGTCACTTCTGAGGAGGAGGGAGTTAGGTGCGCTCAGGCTGTCATCCTAATTAGTTCCCAGGCTGGGCTAATTAGTTCAGCTGACTGCTTGAAAGAAACATCAGAGCAAGTTTTAAAAGGGGGACCGAGGTGGCTTCTACACTGTGAAGTGCTGCACACATTAGAGAGGAAACCAAGATAGCTGTTGTGAAAATGGTTAAAAAAAAAAAAAAAAAAAAGAGGAAGAAGAAGATGCAGGAGGAGGAGGAAGGAGAGTGAGAGGAGGAAAAGAGAATCTAGATCATTCTCTACACAGAATCCACAAATAAGACACACCTAAAGGAACTAATGAATTTGAGAACTATAACAAGAACTTCTAGGCTAAGAGGAGGTGAGGAAAATGGCTACAAAGCATCAGGATTAAGAGACAAATGTGGGGCTGGGGCCATAGCTCAGTGGTAGAGTGCTTGCCTAGCATGCATGAGGCACTGGGTTCAATCCCCAGCACCACATAAAAATAAAGGCATTCTGTCCATTTACAACTACAAAAAAAAAAAAAAAAAAAAGACAAATGTGTTCTCAAAAAGGCTTTAAATAGAATCAACAAAAAACAAGTTATTTTGGCTAATTATCCAGTAGGGACAGTGGCTTTTTGTTTTACAGATGGGAAAATAAAACCTTTAGAGAGAAAGTGACTTGAATATTATCATACGGAAATAGGACCCCACTGTTCCGACTCTCAATTCCCTTTGCACCAAAATTCAAATGACATTCCATCTTTTATGTTCTATTGTTCTCCAAACTCAGCCCTCTAGGATGTGGAAACTTTGATGCTGTTGGAAATTGCTTCTATCTGTTTAATGCCAACTTCTGTGCTAGGAGAAGTCTGAAGTTCAACCCCAAAACACAGGGCTTGGCATGGTCCAAAGCTCATTACAACTTCTCATTAGCTCTGTCTCCTGGGGCAGCTAAGGCATTCCTGAGTGTGACTCAGGACCACCAGTCAGAACTGGGGTTCCTGATGAATCTGAACTGAGCAGGATAAAGGCAATAATAAGGTCCAAGCAAATGAAGCAATACATCTTGCAAGAAGTAAAAAATTACATGAAAATTTCTTGAAACACCATCTTGGTATTAAACATAATAATACCTAAAACTTATTCAACACACATTATGTGCCAGGCACTATATTTGTACTTGACATTCATTAATTCATTTATTTTTCTTAAGATTCAATGAAGTAGGTACTATTATAATTTCAATTTTAAAATAGGAAACTAAGCCACAGAGATATTAACTAACTTGTTATGCTGGCTAGAAACAAGAATCACTCTAGAACAGGAAGACTATGTCAACTGAGACTCAGTATCCTGATTTTCAGAGCCATGAAAAGTTTCTCTAGATTAAAAAATCACTTAATTGATCCAAATAACAAATGGAGTTCACTTCATAGCAATGTATCAATGATAGTTTCATAGGATGAAATGTCCCAGGGCGATGCAAGACATCAACAATGGGAAAAGCTGGGGGAGGGGCACCTGGGAATCTACTGTTCTTATAACTTTCCTATAAATGTAAAATTAATGTAAATTTATTTAAAAAGCTTTTATTTGGATATTTCATAAAGGGAGTTTTTCACTTAGTCAGTTCAGATAGAAAATTACTCTTTTTTTCCCCTGAAAGTCAAAAAATATTTGAAAATATCTGTGGGGACTTGGTGAACACTTTACATGTAAGAGAGAGGACATTAAGGTCTCCGTTGGAGCTAACTGTGCTGGAGTTTTAAAGGCAAATTGGAAACTATTTCCTGGAACACCGCCTCACAGCATGCCTTTTGATACTTGGATTATATTTCTTAAATTCTGAAGAAATCTTTGCTTTTTCCCCCCTTCTGTGCATTTTTGATGCTGAGCTGTTTCCGGTTTTCCCACACTCCTGCCTGTCACAGAGAAGAAACCACAAAAATGCAGAAAAGCAAAGTTTGTCCAAAGAGCTGCGATTTCACCTCGGGAGGCTGAAGAGCTCTCCTGTGAGTGGGGGCGGGGGTGGGGGGCTGGAGGAAGGGACAGTGCCTTCAGAGGCAGCCCATGCCTAAGGCTCCTCTTCACAGCAGGCCAGCTAGCCACATGGGCCACTTGGGACAGTGGCAACGAAGAGAGGATGCACTGAGAGCAACCAACTGGCAGATTCAACATGCACTTCTGAACCACTGCTTTAGCTGTGGCTCTGGGACCTGCAGGGCAGAGGGTGCCTTTAGCATGCAGCTGATGGTGACGACACTCTGGGTTCTCAGGTGAGCCAGGCCTTGCACTACTACTTACACGTATAGCTTTTTACCAACTCACCTAGGAAGCAGATACTCTTATTGTCCCATTTTTATCAGTGGAAAAACTGAGGCCAAAACATTAAGTATCTTGCCAAAGATGTCAAATCAGTCAAGTGTAGAGTGGGGAAGGGAGCCAGGCTGTCTGCCCCTGCAGGCTGCACCCTTGAGGACTTCAGTCTTCTTTCTAGGTTGAGAGGACACGCAGCTTCCTTTCTATCTTGACACTGGCATTCAACCACAAACTGCGGCCTCCCTACTGCCCTTTGCTACTGCTCCAGAGAGTTCTGCAGTCTTTAAAATGCAAGTTATTCCTAGGACAGGGCTTGGTACTTAGCAGGCGCTGAGTAAATATTTGTTGGATAAATGAATAATGGCAGCAATATGATTAAACAGCCGCAAGAGATTGTTTTCAATTCAAATCCAGAATTTGATTCACCCTCCAAAGAGGAAAAACAGTAACACATTTTTTCTTTGTCCCAGGATTCTTTCCTACAACTAAAATTGAGCTTGTGGAAGACAAATGAACGGGAGCATTAATGAGAGCAAGAGAAAAGCACCACAACCTCAAGGTGTTCAGATGGTGAGAAATGCTAGTCCCTTCCAAGTATCTTTGAGAAGTCTCCTAGTATTATGAACATGTGGGCTAGAATCAACGCCATGTACCTGTCTGCTTCCCCAGATGAAGAAGGGTTGGAGGTGGAATGAAGGATGATGATGACCTACAACAATTTGATTCAGGCATGGAAATTTTTTTTTTTTGTATAAAATGGTAGAAGAACATACAAGGTACTAGAAATATTATTGCTACTCAGTTTGTTGAATAATGCTAGTGAAATCTCAATCCTTCATCTTCCCATTCAAATGCTCAAACATGAACAAACAAGTGGGGGGGAAGGCATTGTCTTTTTTTTTTTTTTAATAAAAAAATTATTTTGGTACCGGGGATTGAACTCAGGGGCACTTGACCACTGAACCACATCCTCAGGCCAATTTTGTATTTTATTTAGTGTCAGGGTCTCACAGAGTTGCTTAGCATCTCGCTGTTGTTGAGGCTGGTTTTGAACTTGCAATCCTCTTATCTCAGCCTCCTGAGCCACTGGGATGTGCCAATGCACCCAGTAGGCGTTGATTTTTTTATGAAATTGAAATATGATTGAGTAGAATGACCAGAAGAAGATGCAACAAGGAAGAAGTTTTCATTTTCTTTCTCCAAGCCCACAGTTCAGGACTCTTACCTGGGGCACTGACTGTAGCTCCTGCCGGAGGCCAGCAGAGTTGGTTGGCAATGATCTTGAACTGTATAGGGAGCTCTCACCACAATCACCCAGGGAGGCTAAAAAATCAAGGGCTACTCCTCTCAGCCAGGGCACAGCCCAGCCATTGGAATGCTTTAATTATTTGTACCTAGTCTTTACTCTCCATCAGGTGTCTTGTGACCCCTACCATTGAGAATTGAGCCCAGGGTGCTTTGCCATTGAGCTATATTACCTAGCCCTTTCTATTTTTTAATTTTCAGACAAGGTCTTAATAAATTGCCAAGGGTGGCCTTGACCTTGGAATCCTCTTGCATCAGCCCCTTGAGCTGCTAGGATTATAGATGTGGGCCACCACACCCAGCTGGTATTCTTGTTCAATACCTTATGGAAGGTTCCAGAAGTTAAAAGTACAATTAGCTTAAAATTGACATAACTTAGAAGAAACTGAAAAGTTTACAGTGAACTTACTTTGAAGCCCTCTGGGATGTGGCCTTTCTGAGCACTTGTTTATGATTAGATGGGGGTTTGGGGACCAGGGAGGAGGAAGAACTTGGAGATGGCACCACTTTTTGTGGCAGAGTGGTTGGCTTCTGGCCACTAGCTGTGGCACTTGAAATTCTGCAGCCTGCACCATTATTCATTGTCCATAAATTGGAGTTAGGTAGTGTCTGGCTGCCAAAGATCGCCTACAAGAAAAAGAAAAGAAAAATGATCGATGGAGATCCCTTTCCCCCACCACTTGCTGCATATTACTGCTGTAATCCTGAAGGAGGGCAAAGAGAAAAGGGAAACTGTTAAGTCATTTTTGAGGACAAACTTCCTCAGGGCTGTCAGTGCAGGTCCAGGTTCAGACAAGAGGAGCCTCCTGAAGCAGGGCTGAGGTGCTCTTGGGAGCACCAGGGCTAGGAATCCGGGCACCCAGTACGAGGTGTTGGTCTCTATTCTGGATAATTCTACTGAAAAGCATTGGGTCTCTCATCTTGGTTTCCTTCATTGTTACAGTCAACAGATTTTTGAACGAATGTCTCCTGCTGAGGACCCGAGTGCTAGAATTTCGATTCCAGCCTCCTCAGAGCTCTGAAGGTTCCCGTGTTGAAGCCCGTGTAGCCATGAGCGACCAGAGTGCAGAGATGAGGCCCAGAGGCAGACCAGGCAGGGCTCTGAGGGCTATTTTTAGAATTTTAGCACAGTAACACCCTGTTGACCTAAGGGTTAACACAAGACTTTTACATTTGAAAATGCTTTCAAAGTTAAAATTACAATTCAGTTCGCATCCGGCATTCAACAGGAGGGTGTTTTTGCTGGAGGGGAGGCCTATAAAGATCTGAAGACACTTCTAGACATCACAGAGGTCTGCAGGATGCACAAGTATACTTTCTTCAAGTAGGTGCTTTAAGAATTCTCACAACTTAGTGACCTCATTAGAAATAGATTTTTAAAATGTATGAAATATGATATGTCAAGAGCTTTGTAATGTTTTAAACAACTAACAATAAAAAAAATAAATAGATTTTTTTGGTGTATGTCATAAGTTTTGTTATTGGTCCTTTAATACTATTAATACTACCATCAATACACATGAATTACAAAAACTTTTAATGTGAAGTCATAGTAAGAGAAAAATAATGTAATTGACAAAATACATGGCACTTTTTATTCAATTTTTTTTTTTTGGGAGGGGTACTGGGAATTAAAGTTGGAGGCACTCAATCACTGAAGCACATCCCCAACCCTATTTTGTATTTTATTTAGAGATGGTCTCACTGAGTTACTTTGGGCCTCACCATTGCTGAGGCTCGCTTTGAACTAAAGATCTTTCTGTCTCAGCCACCCCAGCTGGTGGGATTACAGGCAAGTGCTACCACGCCAGGCCTACATAGCACTTTTGTGAAAAAAATATCCTAAAATTCCCATTGAGCTGTAGATACACCACATAAAGAGAGATGGGAGAAGTCACTTTGGCATGGCCAAGCTTGATGGAAAATGACAAGATGATCTTAAGACACATTCACCTTCCAGACAGACCTCACCCATATTATTTTTGTCCTTTATGAATTTTGTTAAAAATTCAGATTTAAAAGATGAGCTGGGTAGCTTTAGAAACATGTCAACGACCCTTCTCTGCTCATGCCTTGGGAGCCCACTTCTGGGAAACGAGTCCAGAAGCCTGGCCTGGCAGGTCAGAGCGGTCTTGCATGCAGTGAATGTGTTTGACTGAAACACTTGACTCAGATCAAAGAGGTTTCAGAGGGAGAGGATCTGAACATTTTCAAACTGATCAATTGGACCAATGTACCTTTGCACACTGACCCAACGAAGAGAAGAAAGGAAGACTCAAGGCCATAGGCCAGACCAGGAGGGCAGTGCTGTCACATGTGTGTCCATGAGAAGCCCTCCCATGGTGCCCTCCCATGGGGCCAGAGGGCCAGGGAGCCCAGCTGCTCCAGCCAGCCTTCTTGAGGGAAGGTGCCAATTCTTCCAGTTCCACAAGGGTTCTCAAACAAACCTTTTCAACTGCTGTTTCCATATCTGAGGGCCTCAAACTGGGTGGGAGAGGCTCAGTTGGAAGAGGGAGGCAGGAGGGAGGCAGGAGGGAGGCAGGAGGGGGCGCAAAACCTAGGCTGCTGTTTTCACCACTACATCCTAAAAAGTGGGCTCAGCTATGAAGAGTGTGTGGGTGATGCCTCATTCAAGATGGGAGGAGACCAGGACTTAGGTGGGGACCTAAGAAACTGGAATGAGGGTCACACTGAGCTGTCTATAAACAACTTCAATGGATAAGTAATAAAGAAGGAAAAATCAGTAATTAAGAGCTCTTGGAAATAAAAATATTCTTTAATGAGTTATATTTTAATGTCATAGGAGAACTGCCATCAGTAAGAACATCTATTCAACAAATGTTCCCATGCTTAAATCAACCATATTCCCAAATTTATTTTCCAAATTCATCAAGTTTTTCTTTTTTCCAATACCTTTCTAGGTCATCTAAATACAATTAAAAGAATAAATAAAAAGAGCAAGTTCAGAACAGGGAGTATAATAAGCCCCTATTTGTGTAAAAAAAAGGTGTATAAATAAACACACATACACAAAGTTAATATTGCACAGAACAATTCTGGAAGGATATTCAAAAAGTTGACAATGTCCATGAAAAAAGAACTGGTTAGCTATGTATCAAGGTAAGAAGAACATTAACTTCACTACTATTTTTAAAATTTTGTGTGCAGTTATTATACAAATAAATAAATTATTAAAAAGTCAAGTTCTAATAACATTTAAGTGTGTAACAAATTAGCTCTGAATATAAGTGACAATATTCACAGGAAGCCCAGTTTCAACCAGCCAGACATTTACCCCCTGTTAGACTGGCTGCAAGAGAGGACTGACTGCTCATAGCTGGCTTTGGAACCAGATTAGGTCATCAATGAACGGCAGAGAGATGAGGCTGAGGGGGGAAAAAGCATGGCGTTTCAGTTAACCGCGGGGCTCAAATATCAGCCCTGTTACTCACAAAGTGGGTTATCTCTTCAAGTTCCTTAACTTCTCTGCACTTTGGCTTCCTCATAAGCAATTATATAACTACTTTGGTGGATTGTTGGAGATTAAATGAAGATTACCTACGTAATTAATAAGGGTTTCTTAAGATAAATCAAAATACTTGGCAAATGCTCCATTCATTCCCTACTGCAGTTTATCAGGGGTTAGGGATGACATGAAAGCCTACCTATCAGTAATCATTTGTGAATGGTAGTTCGTTATGCATATTTTCAACATATTTTTCTAGTCTCATGATGATGCTCACTAGCTGTGAAAGCAAACTCTTAAAATGAAAACATATGTTTAGGTTTCCAGATCACATTTATTCAATTCTCTCTGGCCGAAATAATCTTTTCCTCTTCTGAATGCTTATAAAAATTTATTCGTATGTCTTATTCTAACTGGTATTATATTCGGTCTGGTATTATAGCCACTTATCCATGTACTTTCCCCGTTTTCTGGACAATACGCACAGGAAATAGCTATATTTTATAGGGTTATTGATTTTGGTTTCACCCACAGTGGTTTGTGTAACGCTCAGGTGCTTAACACTATTTATTCCAGGTAGGGGCAAAACAAAACAGTACACCAATTATTTATCTTTTTTTTTTTTTTTTTTTTAAGCAACAGGTGAATTCCTCTACACCTAAATAGGGAAATGTGTATATGCATGGAAATGCAATCGTGTAATAAGACCATTCTCTGAATTTATATAGTACCTAGTGTGCTGTCTGTGTCCAAAATATAAATAAGCCCTCTTAAGATCCCCTCAAAATAAATTCATCTTCTTAGATGCAAATTTTGGGGTAGGACTTGACACAATGATGTTCTATGTAAGGTCAGATGTCTCTTTAAACAACAAAAAACTTATTGCTTAGGAGACTGCCACCTGCCTGGATATCATCACTTTTCCCTTCCTAATAATACTGTTCTGATTCTGTCTGGATAATAATGTGTGTTTAGCTTCACCCACCCCCCATGGCGGGGGGACACAATTCTGGTCAATGAGATATAAACAGAAGTTCCTGAGTGTGGATTTTAGGAAAGTTTTGGCTGTTCTTCCCACTAGCTAGCTAGAGGTAGACAGGCACAGGGTTAAGACCCCAGGGGACAGAGGCAGAAGAAACATGAGTTTCAGACGGCACCATGGTGTATGGGGGAAAATCCCTCTCTAACCAGAGCGTGTATATGTGTGTGTGTGCGTGCGTGCGTGCGTGCGTGTGTGTGTGTGTGTGTGTGTGTGTTACCTGCAGGCAAGTGGAATCCTTATATGAGAACTAATTCTCAATCTACCACAGTCAAGCTTGTTAAGCCTCAGCAGGCATGAATTGCTTCGCAAAGCAAGTTCTCTTACCAAGTACAGTAAAAAGCATCTAGGTTGTGCCTTATGGTTTGGTGGCCATGCTGGAATACACCCAATGGACAACAAAGGGATCACAGCTGAATTCCATCTGAAACTGAAGAGTCAGAAATGAAGACAAGTCCCCAGGTGTCTCACCAAAGCGAAGGTTAATTGGGGTGGGATTGAAGCAATCAAATATGATAAGAAGCAGCTCAGGAAAACACTCAGGCAATATTAAAAGCAGATATGTAAGTGGGTGTATTTAGACTGGTTTCCCAGACTCCTCATACCCCTGTTATTGGCCTCAACTCTGACACTCCACCAGCTAAAGATCATGTGAACTGTTTTGTCCTGATTCTTGAAAGGACAGAATTATATGATGTTCTCTGTATAACTTCTAAGAAATGTGAGGACTGAATAGACAATGACCACAACATAGGGACACAGCTGTACTGTCACCACTCAGTGTCCTGGGAAAGGGAGCTGGATGAGTACTGGCCTCTACTTAAGACCTGGTCAACATACGCGGACTCTGGCTGCTCTGCTGTGTGGGAAAGCTGCAGGACAGGGAGGAGACTCAGCACCAGTCGAGGGTTGGCCTGGCCCCAGGCAAAGACTGGAAAGGCCCTCCCCTGGCCTCGGAGGGGTGCTCGTGGGTGGGAAGGAGGAATTTCTGATAGACAGAACACAGACTGCAACTTGGAAGGTTACAAGGAAGCAAGATCTGGGCTCTCCAACTAGAAAGATAATACTATGCAGAGATTAAATTCTGGAAGTTTTTTTTTCTCCTAATTCCTTCCAGAAAAA